AAAATTTAATAAATAGCTGGGCGTTCTTTATATTTTTTTGATTAGGAAATGGAGGTAGTGGTTGCTAAAATTCTTGGGTCTGCTGATATATTCCAAGGAAGTGTGTAAAGCTAAATAACCTATTGACAGTTACTTCTTAATCTCCCTTGCTTCATAGCCACTTGTTCTTAGTGCTGCTATTCCAGCATCCTACTAGATTGCAAGATGACAGAGTAAGGCAGACTCTAAAGGGTGTTGTCCCTGAAATTTTTTAGTTTTTTGGGTTGCTAAACCTCAGATTGGCCACTGGAGAACAAAGCGGAGGATTGCAGTTCATTGGCAGCAGACTGGAAGAGCCTCATCAGGAGCCGGCAAACGGAGACAGAAGCCAAAAATCATAGAATAACCTTATTGTTAGTCATAGGACTAAATATAAGGGTATGAGTCTTTTTAAAGGATTACTATTTTATTAATAAATTTTAGAAAACTGACCATCTTATTTATTATCTATCAGTACGAGGATGTCGTCCAGGAAAGATTGTGCAGATGACTGAAGCAGAAGTTCGGGGCTTATGTATCAAGTCTCGGGAGATCTTTCTCAGCCAGCCTATTCTTTTGGAATTGGAAGCACCACTGAAAATTTGTGGTACGTAAATGGGTAACGTTGGAAACAACTCTTTGGAATCATGTTTTTCCTTGCATATTTACATTGAGGATGATTTAGAGAAAACATTTTTGAAGATTGTGTATAAAAGAGATTGATAGGTTTTATTAAATAAAATTGAAACTTTCATAAAAATAAGTTACAGACAAGAAAACATTTGCTGCATATACAACAGATAAAAAGATTGCTATTTATAATATGTAAAGAGTTCTTATAAATAGGGAAAAGACAATATAATACAAAAATAACAAAACATAGAAAGAAGTAGATGTTAGAGGAAATTTAAATGGCCGATAAACATAAGATCCTCAGCCTCACTAGTGACCGGTGAAGTGCAGTTTAAAACAAGCACCTAACTCTAATCAGATAACCAAATATGTTAAAGATTGATATTTAGTGTTGTCAGGGATGTAGAGAAATGGGCATTTCAGTACACTGGTTAGAACAAACAAGTATAGCATTTTGGGGGTCAGTATGGCAATGGTCTTCTAACCTTGTTGTGATTGGTTAAATATATTTTGAAGTTTATATTACTTTATGACTTGTGTTTGTTCTTTTGAGTCTTAACAGTGGTTTTTGGCCAAAAGCAAAAACTTAAGACTTTAAGTGAGTGATCTCATTGTTATAACCAGAAAAATTGTTGCAAAGAAAGTAACATTTTTCTGTAGTTTACATAACAACAAGAAATAATATAAATAATGTATCACACTAGCTTTTAGTTTGATAATGCAGATATTCTTTGTGGTGGTTAGTAGTGTTTGTGACATAGCTTTCATGGACTTACCATCAGCTTTTGCTCAAACAGGGGTAGTTTGTTATATGCAAAATTTTTTTTCTCCTGTATGTTTCTTAATGATTCACATTCACACCATGTAACTTGCAGATAGGTGATCAGTGTGCTCTTTAAATATTTTTTATTCTCTTCTGTATGTGGTTTATTAACACATACAGTTACTCTCTTCTGGTTTATTCTCTTCTGTATGTGCTTGGTGCTCCTTTGTACAGTGCCCAGCAAATAAGAGATAATAGCTAATGTTTGTTGGACAGATAAATTATTTAGAGTATCACACCTTTAATTAAGAGGTGGTAGTTGGAATTTGGGGAAAATAATCAATCCCCTCTATGAATTTAAATGTAGCACATGTAGTTTAAGATCATTTGTAGTTGACCTTAAAATGATTTTGAAGTATTCTTTAAAGATATTCTTTAAAATGCTGCGATATAGAAATAACTTGAAAGTAATATATTTACTACATATTTCTAAGTTCTTACTATTTTGTCTCTGTTTGGCATAAAAAAGTGACCTAAGTTAAACTGCCAGATAATAAGAGTAACTGTATTAGTTGCCTGTTGTATAACAAATTACCCCAAACTTTGTGACTTACAACAATATTAATTTACCATTTCACAGTTTCTGTGGGTCAGGAATTTGGGTACAGCATAGGTCCTCTGGTTCTGGGTCTCTCACACAAGGATCCAATCAAGATATAATCTGGAGCTGCAGTCATCTTGAAGGCTCAACTGTGAAAGGAATCAGTTCCTTATGGGCTTGATGGACTGAGGGCCTCAGTTCCAAATTGGCTGTTGGCCAGAGGCCTCCCTCAGTTCTTAGCTACGTGGGCTTCTTCACGAGACAGCTGGTTTCATCAGCATGGAAGCTGAGAGAGTGCAAACAAGACAGAAGTTACAATATTTTGTAATTTAATCTTGGAAGTGACAGCCCATCTCGCCTTTGCTATATCTTATTCATTAGAAGTAAGTCACTAGGTATAGTCCATACAGGGGTGTGAAGGATTGATTACATGGGGTATGAACATCGGGAACCATTTCATAGAAGCTGCTTACAGCAGTAACCAATTTTTCTAAAACTGACTTTTTCTGTTTTTAGGAGATATTCATGGACAATATACAGATTTACTGAGATTATTTGAATATGGAGGTTTCCCACCAGAAGCCAACTATCTTTTCTTAGGAGATTATGTGGACAGAGGAAAGCAATCTTTGGAAACCATTTGTTTGCTATTGGCTTATAAAATCAAATATCCAGAGAACTTCTTTCTCTTAAGAGGAAACCATGAGTGTGCTAGCATCAATCGCATTTATGGATTCTATGATGAATGTAAGTGAAAATAAAAACTAAGAAAAGTAATTAATGGAAACATTCCCTAATAATTTTCTGGTTCAGAAGATTCAGAGATTCCTTTGATTCAGAGGTTTTTTTCAAAATATGCTCTATCAGGCATAGGCCCAGGAAGAGGAACCTGAAACTGGGTAATGTGTTACGAATTAAATTGTTTCCTTGGGTCTTCTTGATCATGTCATTTGAGATTCATTGCAGCTTACTAGGCTGAAGAGTCCCTTTAGACATTAGTTTACCTAGTAAAATATACAAAGGTCACTACAGACAGTGGCTTCTGGTTTTCTAGCGTCCATTCAGGTTTTAGCTCTCAGCATTCTTGTGATATGACAGAAGTTGTTATTAGTTCTGTGTCACAAGAATTATTGAGAAGTTCTGTGAAACTATTTAAAAGTCGAAGTTTATTAGAATTTTAATCTTTATGTCTTCAAACCTAGAGAGACAAGGATACTGAATACTGTGCTATATCCTTATTTTATTCTACTCTTTTTCATCAGTAAGAAATCACTGATTTGCTATTGCATAGTAGTGTTCCCAAGTATTACTAAATTACCCTACTGCATTTGAATTTGGTCTTTGATTTTGTTAGATCAGTATGGGAATGAGCATATGTTTGGTTAATTGTAATTTACAACCAATTATAATGATTTTCAAATTGAATTTATTTTTTATTACAGAATTCCCCTTTAGAATCTGCTTTTTCCTTTTTTCCATCCTTAAATATGGCACAGTCCTATTCAAACTTATATTTCCTCGATTCATATAATGATTTGACAAATGTTTGAAGACATGTTATATGTATCAGGCACTGTTCTAACCACTGAATGAAGCCATACACAATACGGATGATCTCTGTTGTCATGGAGCTTATGTTCTAATGGGAGTGATTCTATATTTGATTTTATATTGCACTTTTATTTCTGAGGTGTAGTATGTGGTTTGAATTGTTTAAATCAGACCAGTAGAGAGGAAGTGGGTTGGAGTAAATCAAACTAACAATTTTCCTAAAGCTACATCAGTAATAAGGTTATGTTCTTAAAGGATAAAAGATGGGCATGAATATCCTTGAGGCTAGATATGACATCACATGAAATAATGTATGTGAGAGCAGCTTGTAAACAGTGCTTTGAGTTATACTTTTCGTTAAGAACAGCGTAGGAAAATTAGTACTTGTATCTTTCATCCCTTCCTTGGCTGAGTAGTTGAACCTTACTGCCAAATTCGGGAAAATCGAGTAACTCTAAAAAGGTGAACATACCACTTGAGGTTGTCTTTGTTGTAGCTGTTTATGATAGGCTATAGGAAAATTACAGCTTTTGTGTCAATCTGTTTATACTTGCTGTTATATTAATGCCAAATGGTAATTCACTCAAAAGTGAATAGCAGTTAAGCACTTGGAAATTTTCTCTTCTTGGCTGTAAGTTTATACTATGTTACTCAGTGCATTAGAGTTAAAATGGACAGTCTCCAGAAACACCCTTTCACTCTCCTTACTTATTTGGCTAGGTATTTAACTAGTGCACATGTTGAAGGGAAAAAATGAACTAATAGCCTATTTCAAAATTGCTATCTTATAGTGATCTTAAAAGACAAAAATTATTGTGTTCATTTCATAAAACACTAGCAGTCTTTGAAGTCTTCGTAACTTTACTAAAGGTGCTGAATGTTTATTATATTTATTACCTTTTCTGAAAGTGTAGAAATAACACTTGTACATTATAGAAAAAGTGCTACAAATGCATAAAGCAGAAAATTGAAATCATTCGTAATACTCTGGCTTTGAGATAACTAATAAGAGAACAGTTTCGGATTTTTTGTTTATTCTATCTGCTTTTTCTTTTTATAGGCAAACGAAGGTTTAATATTAAATTGTGGAAGACCTTCACTGATTGTTTTAACTGTCTGCCTATAGCTGCCATTGTGGATGAGAAGATCTTCTGTTGTCATGGAGGTAGACTAGTAAATTTGCCTTACGGGTTTTTTTATGGTTCTTACATTACTCAGAAAAGAGCTGTACTAATGAAGATGCAGTGCTTGTGTGAAAACTTAAATGATTAAAACTGTTTTAAACATGGCTAAAACTTCTTTTAATAATTACAAATGTGTGGATTATTTATGAGTGAAAATGTAACTCTTGTCTTTAGAGTTTCACATTTGAAGAGGATAATTAGAGTTTTGTTTGAAAAGTATCTTTCCTTTGCCTCAAATTTTGACAGAAAGATACTCCTGCTATCAGTAAAAATGAGAGGATCATTATCTTCCTCCCTATATTGAATACCTTTCATCAGAATCTAAATATAATTAGTTTAATGTTCACATATATCAAGAGTTCTAGGCTTCATACAGGATGCCTACTTTGGTCCTAAAAATAATTGTTTGGTAGAATGGTAAGTTATTCTAAAAGTTAATTTGAAAAATTAACATGTGTCTAGCACCTGACTAGATGCCACGGAAATATAGTGTATGATCTGGTCGTCTTGAAAAATTTAAAAACATATTGATAAATTATATTTATGAAACAGATAATTGAATAATAAAAGCAATTATGTCAGTATTTCTAAGATAGTAATTATTATGAGAAGTCATAAAAAGGAAGGAATTATTGAGCATATGTGTGTGAAGACATGGGTTTTAAAAGACAGACTTTGGAGGAGTGAAAAGGACTTTAGGCAGTCTTTGTATGTTGTATGTCCGGTTTAGGAAATGTGCAAAGACTGGCCCAACTATAA